ACATTGCGCACATCTACTTGGTCTCCGCTACTCAGATCGCAGGGCGTCACCCCTGCCCCTCATGTACCAGAGCCGGACGATACTCCGGCCGTAGCTCTATTCACCCCCGCGCCCAATGATAATGAAAATGAAGTTGTTGAATTTATTCTGTGTGAACCCCAAACCATGTCCGAGTCAACGGATCAAGACCTCCCTCATACTTGGAGGGGAGGCAATCGCTACGCCGCACCACGCTCCGCTCTATAGGCTGCTCGCCGTCTGCAAGAGGATAAGCCAGAATCTGCAATCGCCATTCTGTGCAACTGGACGCACAACCGACGTCACCGTGAGGCAACACATGAGATGCTAGCCACACTCAACGGTATGGACGATGACACCGTTGTGCAAGTGCTCTGCGAGCTCCGTCCACCCATGCATTACGTTCGCTCTTCTGGCCAACGCCAACAGACCACTCTGCCAACAGTTCTTCACACTATGGAGTTTCCTCGGCGTCAGATCCCCGTCAACGCGCTACTTGATAGCGGCTGCACTGGCTTGTGCATTGACGAGGACTTCGTTTGGCAGAATGGCATTTGCACGCGCAAGACCGCGTTACCTATTCCGGTCTACAATGCAGACGGCAGCGCCAACGCCAACGGCAGCATAACGGAGTTTGTTGACATTGCCATGACCATCGGAGATCACCGGGAGCAGATCGCTCTTGCAGTGGCCAAGTTAGGCTCCTCGCCACTCTTCATTGGGCACGAATGGCTACACTTCCACAACCCTAGCATCGATTGGGAGACCTCCACAGTGGTGTTTGATCGTTGCCCGGAGCTATGCACCAAGCTCCAGGACCACATGCACCAAGATGAGGAGACTGAAGACGTCATCGACCTGCCGGAGCTTCAGGAGGAGGAACAGTTACTTGCACTTGATTGGGAGGGTTTTCTACACGCAGGCGCCGAACATCTACGCGCCACTTTGATACACTTGTCGGCTATTGCACAAGAAGAAGCTAAGCTCAAAAAGGAACAGACCTTCCAAGAGTGCATACCCTCGCTATACCACGACTTCCGCGACCTCTTTGATAAGGAGGACTTCGACAAGCTCCCACCACAGACCAAATGGAGTCACGTCATCGAGCTTATTCAAGGCGCACGTCCAGTTGACTGCAAGGTCTATCCCCTCACGCTCGCTGAACAGGACGAACTGCGCAAGTTCATCGAAGAGAACCTCAAATCCGGCCGCATCCGCCCGTCCAAATCACCCATGGCTTCTCCCTTCTTCTTCATCAAAAAGAAGGACGGTTCTCTACGCCCCGTTCAGGACTACCGCAAGCTCAACGAGATGACTGTGAAGAATCGCTACCC